TCTCGACACCATGCTCGCACAGTACAAAACCATGGTCGAGGGTTTCCTCAACCGTTATTCGTGTCACCCCTTGAAGGTCATTTTAGCCAAATTTTCTCGACATGTGGCCTACTGTGCTTCCGATCAGTGAACTAGCATCGTCCTTCCCGAGGAGACAAAAACGCTTTCAGGAAGTTCAGATTGCTTCCGCCAGTATGCCGAAAGTACGACCAAATATCACTGTGATTCATAACGGAATCAGAATACGCGGCTTATTCCAGATTATTAGGCCGATGCCGTGCGGTTTCTTTGTCGAACCTGCAGTGCGTAATGGATTCATTTGGAATCGCAAACGTTGCCAGTGTGTGGTGTTTCAGCAGGATGAGTGCTGCTGCACTTTTAGGGAAAAACCGTAAAAAATGAATTCATATGAGTTTGGGATTACAATGGAGCCAAAAGGCTGGGAACATCGAAGGAAAAGCGCAAACATCGCAGCTATTTCATCATTACTGCTGAAATGCAGGCCTAATCTGGGGAACTCAATCTATCGACTAGAGCCATTACTGCAGTGTTGAGTAGAATCGGTAGCCAGTTGCATTTAATCAGCTGCAAATGGCTTCATTAGGAAGAAAAAATGAACTTTTCCCCGATTTTCGTTGTTGAGGGGAAACTAGTAGAACATACTTAAAGGCACACCCCACGATCAAAGCGGTATGGTAATTTCGTTCTAAAATCAAAGTAGAGATGCCAGATGGACCGATATTGAAAAAAGGGAAAAGAAAACTACAAGAATCGCTGGAATTGAGAGCTTTTTCCAGGCAATAAAGGAAGAGTAAAGGAAGGTAGACAGAGAGAGGTAGACAACGATGAGTGATACTGAGCGCCAAGAGGAGCAAAGATTTTGGAACGAGAGAGTGTGGAAACGAACGATAATAGGCGGCGGCTTAAGACGTTTATTTCAGGGCGGGAGCCGATGCAGTGGATGAAGACCCGTAAGCATCCTCAGACCTTCACACCCATTTTTGAAAATTTTTGCAATGAACTCGGTACATTCCGCGTGTTTGCAAGCACCTCTGCCTTTCCCTGGCTAGCTTTCAACTCTGTAACCTAATCATGGGGTGTGCCTTTAAGACCATTTGTGCCTTGCACATTACCAGGCATTGACACCAAAAGTGCTATTTTCTGTAATGTTCTTTTTGAAAGGTATTAATCACCTCCGGAATCCGGTCAATCGGATGTCCAGTTTATGCTTGATTTCCACATACGACTGACAGCCATATGAGCACGGGAACTCTCCGTCGGAGAGTCGGAAACGTACATGAGCTCCTTCTGGCACCTGAAGACACCAGCAGTCAGATGAGTCCAGGGAAATAGCGCTAGTCGAAAACTCACCGATATCCTCCAGTAGCAGATGACGTCTT